TTGACGGCGAGCCGACTCGTCCAACGGACATGGAGGGGTTATCGGAGCCGGAAGATAACGCGCAGGACGTGGCGCACCGAGTGGGATACCATAGAGAAGAAGCAGGGCAAAGATCATCTCCCCTCCTTTGACATCCTCGCTCAACAGCCTGATGTTGTTTTGCAACCTTCCCTCCGATACGGAACAGCTGCGGACTGCTTATCGCAGCTTCGTTTGCTGGTCCAGTTTCTGGAACCGTGGCACAGTGGGGATGTTGCTCGGCTGGTATACTTCTCCGAGGCGTTCCAGAGGACATTGCATGAAGTCCCCTCAATCGCGACCGAAGGGGAATGGACCACGCCGTTGAAGAAACTGGCGGGTTTGACTCTCCGTGTCTTGCGGTCTGTGACGTCGCCAACGGTGCCGGTGTTTGCGGTTCAACATCTCCTTCAGCTACTCGTCTTTCTCACGGGGCTGATACCGAAGCACATGGCACGACTAGCTAAAGAATACTACTCGGTCATGGTGATTCTCACAAAAGACTTTGAATCAATATCTACAAGGTATAAGCTTTCCAGGGATAGCCTTACTGAGAGTGTGCTTGCTTTGCTTCGACCCATTACGTCTGAAACCCTTACGGCCTATGAATGGTTTGCGAAGATATATCTAACCATTCCCAACCTCCCGGAATACATTGGAAGTCTGGACGGGTTAGCAAATAATATCAATTATAAGTTGCTGACCTCCGCCTTGGGACCGTTACAAACGCTGTTCGGAGACCGACCGAAGAGTGAAGAAGACGTGGATGCCCGTCTTTGGCTGCTTGCCTACTTTATCTTCTTCCACCGCTGCGCTCTGGGAGGTCAGACAGGTCGTCCGGCGCCAGAACCGGGTTTTGTGAAGGTGGTATCGGAGCTGCTGAACTCTACCGCTGTGCATATATCTCGCCGCCTAGAGTCAGAAGATTCTAACGACTACGATGAGGCTCCCGAGCAAACACCACTGCACCCCTTCATCAAGGAGCAGCTAGTCAGCCTTGTGAATCAAAGCAATATCACGGGGCTTCTTTCTCAGCTACACACTACGCATCTCTCTCAGGGGGAGCTGGCAAATGCTCAATCGGATGCATCTAAAGAAGCCAAGATTCTCGCAACATACGCTCTGACGCTGCTGAGAGTATTTCCTCGCCGGGGTGATGACATCCGAATGTGGTTGTATTTGGGATCGGCGACCTCGAGTGACCAGCTGACAGGCCAGCAAGGCTCAAGAATACCCGCGATCAAATATTTCTGGCAAGCATCCAAGGCAAGCAGAATCTTCGCTGCCATTAGTCAAGATTCGACGAAAGTGTTGCCTCTGCTGAAACCGGCCGAGGAATCGCAGGGTACTAGGTCTCCGGAGATAACTCAAATGGAAAGGGATGAAGAATGGACAATCATACTTCTATTCCTCGAGCTCTATACTTTCGTTCTCAAAGTGATGGATGATGAGGAGTTCTTTTCCAGCGAGTCGTCTTTCACCGCTTCCTCGAACACAAGAGTTTCCTGGACCAAGGAGAGCGCTCTTCCCTTGAAAGACATCAAGGATATGACAATCTTTCTCAAAAACCTAGGTTTCACACTGTATTGGAACTCGGCAGATCTGAGTGAAAAAGAAGCAACCCAAGACACCGGGGGCATTCGAAGCTACTTTAGCTCGTCTGCAGCGCCACCGGATGCTATTGCAAGCGTGAGGGACATTGAGATGAAGAACAAAGAGAAAGGGCTTCCCGGCGTTACGGGAATTCCGCTCGACTACTTCAAGGGTCTGGTCACTGGCCTCTTGCGGATGATCCATGAGCGAGATTCAAGACGGAAATTCCTTCCAGACGGGCACTGGTTGATGACAAGCCGCTTCGACATGGAAGGCTTCATCCCTGCCGTTGTAGCAGAAGAGGAGAATAGGCATCAGCTCCAGGATGAGGATGAGGAGGAAGAACAGGATGATTTAATGAATGATTCCTTCTTTGAGCCTTCCCCAGGCCTGATCGGTACTGGCCGCGCTCAACAGACACGCCGTATCGAGGCATTGAGACGTCGCCAACAACAGGCCGCTCGCAGGAAGCAGCTGGAGGCCGTGGCCCCGAGGATGGAAATTCTCCGCAACATGCCTTTCTTCATACCTTTCCCGACGAGAGTCCAGATATTCCGCGAATTCATCTATCGGGATCAAATGCGCCGAAGACAGGGGTATATCGACCCGGATGCCTGGCGCATGTCTGTGGCGCAGGCCTCAATGGGCCGTCTGATTGATGGACGTCCTGCTGTACAAGATATACTGAGCCGGCACCATGCCAATATCAGGCGTGAGAGCATTTTCAAGGACGCCTTTGATGAGTTCTACGAGCTGGGGGATGGGTTGAAGGAGCCCATTCAGATCACGTTCATTGACAAGTTCAATACAACCGAAGCTGGTATCGATGGCGGTGGTGTTACCAAAGAGTTCCTCACGAGCGTGACTAGTGAAGCTTTCAAATCGACAAGTGATCTGAATCTATTCGAAGAGAACGACCAGCACCTGCTCTATCCGAACCCTGCTGCAGTCGAGCAGCGGCGAGAGCTTCTACGACAACTCGGCTTTGTTGAGAACACTGCGGAATGGAACGAGAACGTCCGTGACCTACTTAGGCGCTATGAATTCCTAGGCCGCATCATCGGAAAGTGTCTATATGAGGGCATCTTGGTGGATGTCAACTTTGCCCCGTTCTTTCTGCTGAAGTGGGCTTTGACGGGCGGCACGGGTTCGGCCCAGCGTGAGACAGCCTACCGCGCCAACCTGAATGATCTGAAGGATCTTGACCAGGGACTGTACCAGGGATTGGTAAGTGAAGCGTGTTGCTCTTTAGCACTGTGTGCTAGCTGCTAACCCGTGCTACAGTTGCAACTGAAGAACTATCCTGGTGATGTGGAGGACTTCTCGTTGAACTTCACCGTCACTGATACGATACCGCTTCCCGACGGGGGTAACCGCACGACTACCCGGGACTTGAAAAGCCACGGGTCAGACATACCTGTTACGAATCAGAATCGGTTGGTTTATATCTCTTACATTGCTCGCTACCGGCTTCAAGTCCAGCCTGCTCTGCAGACCAACGCTTTCCTCCAGGGTCTGGGACAAATTATCCAGCCGTCGTGGCTGTCGATGTTCAACCAGACGGAGCTGCAGACCCTTGTGAGTGGTGATTCAGGAGACATTGATGTAGCCGACTTGCGACGCAACACGCTTTACGGAGGAGTATACACGATCGGGGATGACAAAGAAGAGCACCCCACCGTCAAGCTGTTCTGGGATGTGATGGAGAAGATGTCCAACGAAGAAAGACAGAAAGTGCTTCGATTTGTGACGTCGACCCCCCGGGCTCCTTTATTAGGTTTCAGCCATCTCAATCCTCGTTTCAGCATTCGAGACTCGAGCGAGGATCAAGAACGACTCCCCAGTACGAGCACCTGCGTGAACCTTCTCAAGCTGCCCCGGTATACCAACGCCAATATCCTGCGGGAGAAGCTTTTGTATGCGGTCAATTCCGGAGCTGGATTTGATCTGAGCTGAGGGGAATGGAGAGTTTGCATGACACGGACCGGTCAATGCAATTATACCTGCAGCGCATTTAGTGAATAATTATGAGTAGCATAGCTAGGCGTCCTGGTGATCCATGTGTTCTTTTCTTGTTCTTGTTCTTGTGGTTGTTGTCAACGCGTTTCATATTGTGTCTATTTTACCGAGGATGGGTGCTATTTCTAGCTCGAGTCCTAGTATCTACTACACTTGCTTTCGTCTCGGGGCTTTGTTCATATGGCGAGGGGTAGCTTCGACCAACCAGATAGATAGCCTTCATCAATATTTGTTCGAAAATGGTTCGCTTTGTTAGAGATCCTTTGTTGAATAGAGGCCCGGCCTCTGCACGAAAACTGTGGCTGTCGTTCCAAGCTCCCGAACCAATAACACCACGAATGGATGGTGAATGAATGAATTGGATGGATGGCTGGTGATATTCTTGATTGCCTGCCTGATGGTGGCCTAGCCCCCGTTTTAATGCCTGAGGCACATATAACTTAAGATCCTTCAAATGTTAGTTTGGTTTTTTTCCTTTTTTTTTTTGCCGCTCGAGTTTAAAGGCCGAAAAGGAATCCACCATTCCGTGAAGCGCCGTTCAAGCAGCGAGGACCATACCCTAATAAGGTTTAGCGCCACCTGCCGACCCAAAGAGAGCAAAAGAAAATTTTATCGTTTTGAGTTTTTTTCAGATAACAAAAAAAGAAAAAAAAGGCAGGCAGAATTTCAGTCAGTCACAGTCAGAGAGAAAGGTCTTTTTCGGGGCGATTTTCATTCTTCGCCGTCTCTTCCTCTTCCTCCTCCATCCGCTCTTCTTCCTTCTTTCTTCCTTCCCCAAAAAATCCATAAAACCCTTCTCTGCTGTCTATCCCCAGCATCCTTTTCTCTTCTTCTTCTTTTTTCATATCCCCCTTTTTCGAAAACTCCTCGAAAAAAATCCCCTAAAAAAACCCGGAAAAAAGACCAAAAAAACCAAAGTAAATACTCCCTCCCCCCGTCCATTAAAATTTTGTGTTGGTGTTGGGGCCCTACTGTGACTTTTTCCCACTGTCTCCGAAAAGTTGTGCGGTGTGTGTGTGTGTGTGCGTGTGGGCGCGCGTGTTTTGTGCGTGCATCTGGAAGTTTTCCCTCAACCGCATATTCTTCATCCCTCGTGATCGTCTTTTTCGCTTCACTTCCCCAGCCTTCTTTTCATACCAGCAGCCGTTGTCTTGACGGTGTTTCCCGGTGTTTAATTTGAGGTTGTACTTTTGCTGCGTGGATCGTCATTCCTCCACCATCCCCCCTCCATCTCTTGTCGACCTTCCCTTGCCTGCCTTCTATCACGGTGATAGTGTGACCGCCTGGGAAGGAAATCCCCGTCTCCATCAGACAAGCCCACACTGCCTCTGTTTTTATCTCATCTCCTTGCTCATCTTCCCGCTGTCATCATTCGTCTCTTATCCTTTGTCTTGCGCTTGTTCTCGTTCATTGTTGTTTGAGAGCTTTGTTCCAATCCTCCAATTCCATCGCCTGTTACAGCTAGTCCCTCTCCCCCCCTCCCCACTTACTCTCTCGTATCCTCTTCATCGACACCTGTGCTAACATCTTTACCTCTTGTCCAACAGTAACACCACAAAAATGTCTGCCGACGTCTCTACCACCCCCGCTGCCGAGAACGTCAACGGCGCCGCTGAGGCCAGCCCTGCTGCTGCTGCCCCCAGTGCCACCACCCCCGAGGTCACTGCCGTTGAGAACTCTACTCCGGCTCCCGCTGCCAACCAGCCTCACTCGGCTTCTCTCTATGTCGGTGAACTCGACCCCTCCGTGACCGAGGCCATGCTCTACGAGCTGTTCTCTTCCATCGGCCAGGTTGCTTCCATCCGTGTCTGCCGTGATGCTGTCACCAGACGCTCCCTGGGATACGCCTACGTCAACTACAACAACACCGCCGATGGTGAGCGTGCTCTGGAAGACCTCAACTACACTCTGATCAAGGGCAAGCCTTGCCGTATCATGTGGTCCCAGCGTGACCCCGCTCTCCGCAAGACTGGCCAGGGCAACGTCTTCATCAAGAACCTGGACAGCGCCATTGACAACAAGGCTCTCCACGACACCTTCGCCGCCTTCGGCAACATTCTCAGCTGCAAGGTCGCTCAGGATGAGTTCGGCAACTCCAAGGGATACGGTTTCGTCCACTACGAGACTGCTGAGGCTGCCAACAACGCCATCAAGCACGTCAACGGCATGCTGCTGAACGACAAGAAGGTCTTCGTCGGTCACCACATCTCCAAGAAGGACCGCCAGAGCAAGTTCGAGGAGATGAAGGCCAACTTCACCAACGTCTACATCAAGAACCTCGACTCTGAGATCGATGACGATGAGTTCCGCAAGATGTTCGAGAAGTTCGGTGAGATCACCTCCGCCACCCTCAGCCGTGACCAAGAGGGCAAGAGCCGTGGCTTCGGTTTTGTCAACTTCTCTACCCACGAGAGCGCGCAGGCCGCCGTCGAGGAGATGAACGACAAGGAGATCCGCAGCCAGAAGCTCTACGTCGGTCGTGCCCAGAAGAAGCACGAGCGCGAGGAGGAGCTGCGCAAGCAGTACGAGGCCGCCCGTCTGGAGAAGGCTTCCAAGTACCAGGGTGTCAACCTCTACGTGAAGAACCTGACCGACGACATTGATGATGAGAAGCTCCGTGAGCTCTTCGGACCTTACGGCACCATCACCTCTGCCAAGGTTATGCGCGACACCAACGTCGAGCGCGAATCGTCTCCCGAATCTGCTGGTAAGGAGAAGGAGGCTAACAAGGAGAACGACAAGGAGGCCACCCCCGAGGCTGAGAAGGCCGAGGAGAAGGCCGAGGAGAAGGCCGCCGAGTCCTCCGAGGAGAAGGACAAGGAGGCCAAGAAGTCTGACAAGAAGCCCTTCGGTAAGAGCAAGGGTTTCGGTTTCGTCTGCTTCAGCAGCCCCGATGAGGCTTCCAAGGCTGTCACCGAGATGAACCAGAGAATGGTCAACGGCAAGCCCCTCTACGTTGCCCTTGCCCAGCGCAAGGATGTCCGCCGCAGCCAGCTTGAGGCCAGCATTCAGGCTCGCAACACCATCAGACAGCAGCAGGCCGCCGCTGCCGCTGGTATGCCCCAGCCTTACATGCAGCCCGCTGTCTTCTACGGCCCCGGCCAGCAGGGTTTCATCCCTGGTGGTCAGCGCGGCATGGCCTTCCCCCCTCAGCCCGGTATGGTGATGGGTATCCCCGGTGGACGCCCCGGCCAGTACCCCGGTCCCTTCCCTGGCCAGCAGGGTGGTCGCGGCATGGGCCCCAACCAGCAGATCCCTCCCAACTTTGCTCAGGGTATCCCCATGGGCATGCAGGGCCCTGGTGCCATTCCTAACGGCATGGGTTACCCCCAGATGGCTCAGGTGCAGTTCGGACGCGGCGCTGGTGGCCGTGGTCAGGTCCCCGGAATGCCCATGGGTCAGGGTATGCGTGGCGGTCCCGGTTACGGCCAGGGCCGTGGTGGTGTTCCTGTTCAGCAGGGTCAGATCCGCCCTGGCCAGGGTGGTCGCGGACAGAACGCTGCTGCTCCCGCCGGTCCTCAGGAAGGTGCCGCTGGTGGTGTTAACGCTCAGACTCTTGGTGCCGCTCCCCCGGCCCAGCAGAAGCAGATGCTCGGTGAGGCTCTCTACCCCAAGATTCAGGCCCAGCAGCCTGAGCTGGCTGGTAAGATCACTGGTATGCTTCTGGAGATGGACAACACCGAGTTGCTCAGCCTGTGAGTATTTCCCTTCTACTCTTTACACTGTTACTTTTAGTTGCTAATACATTATTGTAGGCTTGAGGACGAGGAAGCCCTTCGCGCCAAGGTCGACGAGGCCCTTAGCGTTTACGATGAGTACATGAAGAACAAGGGCACCGAGTCCGAGGCTCCTGCCGCTGAGGCTGCCAAGCCCGAGGCGGAGAAGGAGGCCTCTACTGAGGAGAACAAGGCGTAAATTCGCGTCTCATCTCCTGCACCGGTGGTTTGATCTCAGCAGTCTGCCATGTCGAATTTTTTTTTTTTTTTTACTCCCACCTATTTTTGATGACCTCTTCTACCTCCTCTTCTACTCGAATTAACGATTTCACCTCTTATTTTCCTCCTATCCGACACCTCCTTCCATTTTACCCACCCCCTCAACCTTTCCACTTTTTTTTTTTTTTTTATCCCTCTCTTCTCCTTCCCTCCTGGTCCTGATATCCCTCGGTTCCCAAAAGTTCTTTGTTAGTGGTGTCATCGGTCCATGATTAGCGAGCGACATCACCTTTACCGGATCTCCCGTCTCTTTTTCTTTCTCCTTCCTCTTGAATAGCGCTTTGGGGGTTGTTCCCTGGCAATGTTAGCACGTGATACAAGAGGGCGATGGGCAAAGGAAGGCGGGCCAATTCTGGGAACGGAGATGAAAAGTTGTTCGGATGCCATGGTTCTCTTATTTCATGTCACGAGAGGGAGGAAGTTGTGACGTCTTCTCTTCCTATCCCCGCCATACTACCTACCTCGTATCCTACGATATGACACGAGTGTAATATAGACTTATGACTTCCTCACGGGATCTTTCTCACGTATTATACGTATATGTAGATATCCTTTCCACTCGTAGACGTAACTTGTTGTATTTACACGGTCTCTGTATTTCGTAATATGCACTATCATACACCCTCCCCTTCCCATATATACCAACCCATGATGGAATAAGTACTAGCTCAAAAAGAAGGATACTGCTGCCCAAACATATCCGCCAAATCATCAAAATTACTCCCCTCGAGCAGATCCACAATTCCAAAATCAAACTCCCCCACCGCATCTCCATTATTATTATCATTAGAATTAGTACTCACCCCCTCCGCAGCGAATAATCTATCCTCATGAGACAGGTGTACATGCCCGCCACTAGTATTAGCAGTTTCATGCAGACCAGATGTTGTCGCAGCAGCAGCAGTAGGAGTCCTCCTCCCTGCTCGTCCACGTGCATATTCATCATCCATATTCGTCGAAGATAGCGAGTTAATGGGAGTGAAGAAGGCGGTGTGGTGAGGATCTACTGCTACTTTTCGTCGTTTGTTGGGTGATCCTTCACATGCGGCGGTGGTGGTAGTGCCTGATTCCTGGATAGTCCGAGATAGGAGGGAAAGTGCCCTGTGGCAGTGTTTGGCTGCTTCCCATTGCGTGGACATGGTGTGCAGGATTGTGAGACATTTGGTGATTTCTCTGTTTTGGGTGATGTTAGTAAGGTGGGTAGGTAGGTAGATTGGGGCGGGTGTGGGGTGCATGCAGGTTAGGGGGATTTTTTGTGAGACAAGGTGTGCAGGAAGAAGAGCTGGGGAGGAGCTTATGCAACGTACTGAGCTCCCTTGGATAAGACGTATTGGCGGAGTTGGCATGCAAATGCAAGGACGAGACCTGACATCCAGGCAGCAGAGAGGAAACCGGGCCAGAAGAATGATTGGCCGCTTTCTTGCTGCGTCGTTAGAGCGGAGATGATCTCCCTTGCGGCGTTGATGCAGGTTTGGAGCCCGGAGCAGAATTCGGGGGTGGATGGGCTGAGGGAGAGGGAGGGACGGTTGATGAGGAGGATGAGGTGTTGGTAGAGGACGGTGAAGAAGGGGGCGAAGTTGAATGCGGTTGTCGTTGTTGCTGCGGGGGACGATGATGAGGGTTGGTCGGTGGTTGATTGTTGGTGTTGGCCTTGGAGCGTTTCGATGGAGAGGTTGTTCCACCATTTGTGGACGTCTGTGATGAGGAACAGTACGGAGCTGCGTGGGACAGAGCGCACTGTAATGGATTTGTGGAAGAGCTCGAGGGCTCGTCCTGTCAGGGTGCCGGACTCGACGTAGCTTGCAAAGGCAAGTTCGCGGCGGTTTTGCTGGGCTTCTTCGGCCGAGGAGCTACTGTGGGCCGAGAAGGTACGTGGTGATGTGTTTTCGTGGTGTTGGTTGCTTTTGAGCTGGAGGCGGTGTTCCCTTTGCTCAGGATACGAAGTAGATCGTGCGAAATGCGATCTATTGTACATCCCTGGTATATGATTTTCAGGAGCATTGGGCGAACAGACATCGATATCCGAGTCTTGCACGCCTAGGGGCAGCCCAAGTGCCTGGCTTAGGTATCGGTCAATGGCGTATGCACACCAGAAGATCCTCTTGCGCAGCTGTCTGTCGTGGGTTGTAAGCTCCTTGTATCGGTATGGACAGCGATGGAGACCTGCGTGCAGCATGGAACGGAGCATGCAGCCACCTACGGTGGAGGCTGTCCGGAGGGACATTTTTGCAAGCAGATATAGTTGGCAAGCAAGAAGTGCCTGCAAGGACAACATATCGTGCTTACTAGTTAGCGTGCCGAGGAGAGAATGCATTTTACTGGGCGATTCAATCCGAGACTCCAGCGGAAGTTGATTCTCCGGATGAACAGCATTGGCTAGATTGAATATACACTGAAAGATTGTTGTCCAGCATACATGCCGGTGATCCGCCATTGGAGCATTACCAGTTGGCTCCTGGCGGTCTTCTGAATATAGGCCCTCCATAGCCTGCAAGAAAGTAGGGCCATGCAGGAATGGGAACAGAGGATGCCAAACTTTGAAGTACATCATCATGAGTTCCCGAGCTGTATCAAGCGGGGGAGCATTCCCCAAGACTGCTGCCACTGCGGGATCATATGCCCATTGGCTCGGAAACTGATCATCCTGCAGCGCAGCCGGGGACGTTTTCTGCGAGGCATCACTGCCTACCAGGGTATCCTCCGGCTGGGGGAAGTCTTGTGCAGGCGATGAACCACTCGGATCTAAACTTTCGGAGAAAGCCCGTCGGACGGTATTGATGAAGTAGACGCCACTGGAGCTACCGACAAATTGGCTCTCATCCTTGGAATGCGCGGTCAGGGAACCAATCTCGGATGGGCCATTGGTAAGATCCGGAGGCTCCATTCTGCTGGGATCATGATGCTGCCGTCGCAAATAAGGAGAGAGCATGGAAGAAGATGGCGTTGAAGTCAAGAATCTCGGATTGAATTGCGAGTCGCAAATCCGGGTGCCTGCTTAGTCATGAACGACACTTCCACCATTTCCATTTCTAATTACTACTGAGCGTCAAGTTTTCCAGATATAGTAATTAATCCTAGAGCAATTGGTTATTCTTAAAGACCTATTACTCACATGCAATTCCTAATCGTCAGAGGTGGATTGACTTCAAAGATCTTGACGCCTATTGCTAGCCAGTCTACACTGCTTGCGAGATCCGCCAAAAGAAGTAGGGAATAGAGAAGGGCAAGCCAGGAGTTCAGTTAGTTCCAGGTATTCAATCGAAAAAACACTGTTTATCAAGGATATATATTGCCTATTCAACGGATGGGAACTAGAACTAATGATAATGCAATTGAATGTGGAACCGTTCACTCGATGCTATGCTTGACAGGAGAGGAAGTATCTCTATTTCGCGTCTTTCCCAACACCAACACACAATGCAAGGAGACCTTGCCGCATCCTTTTTTTAAGATGAAGCCAACTGCTGCTCGATTTCTTTGCAAACCGCATCCACAACTCCCTGCGTATTCGCCGAACCCCCGAGATCCGGTGTCAAAACCCCAGCAGCGCACACCTTTTCGACACAGTCCATCAACTTTTTGGAAGCATCTTTTTCACCCAGCCATGCGAGCATCTCCGCAGCGGACCAGAAGGTAGCCACCGGATTGGCGACGCCCTTACCCATGATATCGAAAGCACTTCCATGAACCGGCTCGAACAGCGAGGGGTTCTTGCGGGTAGGGTCGAGGTTGCTGGATGGTGCCACACCGATGGAACCAGCCAAACCAGCTGCAAGGTCAGATAAAATGTCCATATGCAAATTGGTTCCCACGATAGTATCCAGTGAATCTGGCTTTGAAATCATGCGGAGGGTCATGGCGTCCACCAACATCTTATCCCAGGTGACATCCGGGAAGTCTTTGGCGACCTCCTCAGCGACCTCATCCCAGAGGACCATTCCATGGCGCATGGCATTACTCTTGGTGACGACGGTCAGGTGGTGACGTGGTCTGGAGCGTGCTGTTTCGAAGGCAAAGCGCATAATCCTCTCGACACCAACCCTTGTGAAGATGGCCACCTCTGTCGCAGCTTCCCATGGCTGACCCGTGTGGCTGCGTCCACCTTGACCACAATACTCTCCCTCGGAATTCTCTCGCACAAGGACCCAATCGATGCCATTCACAGCTGTGGTCAGAGGTGACTTGGTTCCGGGAAAGGTGCGCACAGGACGGACATTGGCATATAGTTGCAATGGACTGCGGAGCGCTAGTAGCAGGCCCCATAAGGAGACGTGGTCGGGCACGTCTAGATTAGTTAGTGCGTGAATTGCAATCGACTGTCTGTCTTGTAAGGTTCAGATATTCATACCTGGATGTCCCACAGAGCCAAACAAGCCTGCGTCGAAGTTCCGCAGAGTATCCAAGTAACCTTCAGACACGTACCGACCATGTTGCTTGTAGTATTCAGTACCCCATGGGAGATGCGTGAATTCAATGTTGAATGTGTTCAACGTCTGAGCGAGCTTGTTGACCACTTCAATGGTTGCTCGCACCACTTCCTCGCCAATGCCGTCACCGGGAATGGATGCGATGCGATAAGTAGGTTTCTCTGTAGCCATTGTGTTTTCGCAAGACCGAAACACGGTACTGGTACTAAAAACAGAGGCGAGGAACGAATCTCTGGATATCAATACTATGATCCCCGCATTGAAGCTCTATATACTTCCCCGCTCCGGCTATTATTCAGGCTGAAGGTTTGTCCTGCGCATGTCGCCATAATTTCGCCGCTTGCAACTTTATTCATGTCTCGTAATTCCACCTTCTAGTATCTACTATAATCAGTAGTTTATTTTTGTTGGCTCTTGATTATTTGGAGCCAGTATAGTTGTGGAGGCACAGATGGATACTTGCTGCGCTTATCTAATCCAGCCTATACTGAATTAGTGGCAACCGCACAGGCCGGCTTCCTACTAATCTCCATATGCCGTTCTGCGATGGACTGGCTAAGTATGCCA